ACACTCTATAATAGAAGACCCTGAGGCGAGTGTGTCACGATGCACAGGTCTTGAAAAACTCCTCAAGCAGCTCATGGGCATGGTATTCTTGGTGTCATGACGCCAGGCTCACAAGAATGCTTTCCACAAGAATCTGTGTCCGGAACCATCCAAAGATGGGGATTTCTGGTAGGTTCCTGGAGTCTACTGTGTATATCCTGGACAAGGCCTCACTCATTCACTCCATTTCCACGATTCTGGTCAGTGTGGGCCAAAGATCATGTCCAGTGCCCAAACCTCCAGGCAGCACACCAAAGGGCCCCTCAGTTCCTGCTCGGGAAATCACCGTGGGCAGATGCAAGTAGATGACGCAGTGTGGAGCTGCCTCTCCAGAGACAGGGCCAGAAAACATCTGTCCTGCTCAGCGACAGTGTGGCCAATAACCTGGAGCTGGATGCACAGCGCACACTCCAAGGTCCCAGGGTGTCTGTCCCACTTCCTCCAGCTCCCTGCCCCCGTCTCATTGCTGCTCTTTGTTGGTGTGTGATCATTCTCTCCTGAGCCTTCTGGACTGGTGGTTTCTGTTTGTAGTCTACTGGCTTCGCCTCTGACCGGGCAGTCTTGCCTCACAGTCCAGATTTTAGCACCATATTTGGGCTGAGGGCTGCCTGCCACTGTCTCCAGGGGGGACATGCCGATCTGTGATGGGGGCAAATCCCTGGGATGCCCACCACACACCTCAGGCTCAGTATTCCCAAAGTTAAACAGTGTGTTCCTATCTCTTCCCCCTCCTCAGTCACCTGCTGGTGTTGCCATTCACCCAGGAAACCAGCTCTCTCATGTCTCTTCTTTTTTAAATTAAAATTTATTTTTAATTTATGTGTGAGTATTTTGCCTGCAGATATGTGTGCATCACATGTGTGCAATGCCCACAGAGGCTAGAAGAGGGCATTGGATTCCCTGGAACTGGAGTTAAGATGGTTGTTAGCCACCATGTAGGTACTGTGGATCAAATCCAGGTCCTCTACAAGAGCAACAGGTGCTTTCCAGCCCCATACACTGTCTCTTTATGAGAATGAAATATATTCTGTTTCCCATGCCCTTGAGTCTGGGGCTGAGGAAAAAGGCTTGTTTCTGCAATTGTCTGACAAATGAAATATGGTGTGGTGCTGTCCTGGGAGGTGGGACCTGGCTGGAGGAGGGGGTCACGGGTGGAGCAGGCCTTTCGCATGGCTCCACCCCACTTCCTGATCAGCCAGGTGTGGGTGCAGCCCCACGATCTGGCCACAGCAGCTGAGAGCTGCTCTCCCCACCGCCCCTCCCTCGGTGGAGGGCCACGTCTTCAAGCTGAACCTAAACGGACCTCTGCCCTTAGCTGCTGCTTGGCAGGTATTTGGCCCCCGTGCTGCTCAAAGCACCCGAGGACTCTGCCATGCGGCTGCTGCCCCTCCGGGCCCTGGTCCCGCCCTGTGCCTGCGTCCACTCCAGCACCCCTGACTCCCTCCCTCTGACTCCGACCATCTGCTCGGCACCAGCTTTCCTAGGAACATCCTGACCTCCACTGCTCCCTACCCTGACCTGAAGAGGTGTCCCTCCTCTACCGCCAGCAACTCAGAAGTCCCTCTGCCTTTTCCCCCAATACATGGGAGGGGAATCGTGGCCGGGGTATGTGAATTCCACCACAGATCAGGAACTCTGCAGCGGGCCACGTCTAAGTTACTTTCCTACAATGTGCATATTCTTGCACATTACGCCGGACGCATCTCCAGCTGTTGGAGGAACGGTGGCAACAGGTGGAAGAGATGGAGGATAAGACTAGAACGAAGCTGAGGCCAGGAGCGAGCGAGCAGGCTTCACCGAGGGCCCAGCTTCATCACACAGTAACACTGCAGTGAAGATCAGAGCGTGGGGGGATGGAGGGGTGTGTCACTGCAGAGGTGCTCAGTCACAAGGGAGGTGGAGTCCACGCTGCAGGGAAAGAGCTACAGATGCCCATGGAGCCAGAGAGGGCTGATGGGGATAGAGAAGACGGAAGGGAGGTGACAGGGAAGAGAAGATTACTTCAGCCTGAGAGATGACGGGGTGGGCAGAAGAGTGTGTGCGCATGCGTGTGTACATGTGTGTGTGTGTGTGCGTGTAAGGTTGGGTCAGGCTGAGAGATGATGGGGTGGGCAGAAGAGTGTGTGTGTGTGTGTGTGTGTGTGTGCGTGTGTATGTGTGTGAGTGTGTGTGTAAGGTTGGTTCAGCCTGAGAGATGATGGGGTGGGCAGGTGTGTGTGTGTGTGTGTGTGTGTGTGTGTGTGTGTGTGTACACGCGCATGTGTGTAAAGTTGGTTCACCCTGAGAGATGATGGGGTGGGCAGAAGAGTGTGTGTGTGTGTGTGTGTGTGTGTGTGTGCGCATGTGTGTAAAGTTGGTTCAGCCTGAGAGATGATGGTGTGGGGCAGAAAAGTGTGTGTGTGCATGTGTGTACGTGCATGTGTGCAGGTGGTGTGTGTATGTGTCTAGAAGGTTGGTTCAGCCTGAGAATGGTAGAGCAGAAAAGTGCATGCTCACACAGATGCACGCGTGTGTGAGTGCATGTATGTTATGGATATGGTCTGTGGTATGTGTGTGTAGCATGTGTGTAGGTGGTGTGTACATGCGTGGGTGATGGGAGTGTGTGTGGCATGTGTGGTGTGCACAATATGTATGTTACTGGTGTGTGTAATGTGGTATGTGTTGTGTGTGATGAGGTGTGTGTTATAAGTGTGTGATATGTGTACATATGTGAGGTGTTGTGGTATGTATGTGTATGTTGTATATGTGTGTGGTATGTGTGTATGTGTATGTTGTATATGTGTTTATGTGTATGTATGTGTGTGTGGAGTGTGTGGTAATGTGCATGTAGCCGTGAACTGGGTGAACACCTAGTTCAGATCTAAAGCACTGATACCAACAGGCACAATATGGGATTCATAATCTAACAAACAAAATCGTTCTGCTGTCTGCTCAATATGTTATTGTGATTGTGATTAAAAAGCCATTTGCCAGTTGGAACCTTCCAGCATCTGATACCACATACTGCTGTCAGAGAATTGACCAAACTGCAGACATAATGATGGGATAGTTTGGGATGGGATTCTTCTATCTATTTATGGAAGGAGAGAATTCCAAGTGAAACCTCAGCTATATAACCGGAATTTTATTCAGTGTTCATTTTGAAATCATTTTTCTAAAGCACAACAAACGAGAATCATTGTGCCCCTCCGTCCTGCTGACGGTTCACATGTCTACTGTCTCAGCACGGGGGTAGTTTACCCATCTCTCATCTTGGGGGAGGGAAGAGAGTTACCGGTCTATTACCTCAGCATGGGGGGGCACTTACCACAGATGAAGCAGGTCGTCTTGAGAATCTCCTCTTTCTTCTGCTTCTCACTCCTGAGATCCGCAAAGGTGTCGATGATAACACCAAAAATCAAGTTAAGAACGATAATGATGACGATGAAGAAGAAAAGGAGGTCATATACCACCCGGGCAGCGAACAAGGGCTCCTGGAAGAGACAGTGAAAAGGATGTATGCATGCATGTATGTATGTATGTATGTATGTATATGTAATATATATGTAAAACACACACACACTCTGTGGAAGCTGCTGACTCAGCACACTGTCTTGTATAAAGTAGACACCAATGTCTGCAAATGAACATGGATCCTATCCCCAGTCAGAAAAATAAAAGCCATTTTCTTTTAAGTGTTAACAGGCAAACTCCCTTAACCTGCTCTCAGAGTCTCTTCCATTTCTCCAGGACTGACACACCTTTTCTCCACTTAGAGGGATTTGTCCTTCTTTAGAAAACATTTTATTACATTGTTATATAAATACTTTTCTTAGAGTGGCCCCGGTTGTGGTTTGAAAGTCAATGGCCCCCACAGGCACCTGTGTCTGAACACTTGGCCCCAGCCAGGCGCACTGTTTTGGAAGGTTGTGAAACCTTTAGAAGCTGGAGCCCTGCTAGATGAAGGGGGTCACTGGAAGCGGGTCTTGACATAGCCTGGCCCCACTTCCTGCTCTTGCCCTGCTTGCTCACTGCTGACATGATACTGTTGGAATCAGTCCACACCGTGCATTCATCATGGATAAATGGTTGGGGTTCTTCCTATGTGGAAGCAGGGAGTAAATCCTCACATTTGGGAGTTGTGAGACAGCCTAGTTGCTGTCACTTATGTAACAGTCTTCAGCTGGGATTTTGTTGCTGGAACACGGGATGGAGTTCAAACTTGAACCTACTGAACTTCACGGAGCTATGGTGTGTCTGCCACTTGTTTGCAGTCCTAGTATGCAATTAATTGGTCCTAAGGCCACTGTTACAGTTTTAGAGCAAATTATACAGTGTTGTCCTGAAAATCCAAAAAAAGTTAAGAAAGGTGACAGGAAATAAAGCAGGCTGGCATGGCCTGTCTGCTCCGTTATTCAAGGCTTGGTGGTGTGGCCTGTCTGCCTGTTATTCAGGAAGGCTGAGGCGGAAGAATACCAAATTCAAGGCCTGCCTGGGCTACAGAGTGAGTTCAGAGCCAGCCTGAGCCACCCACGGGGTGAGTTGAAGACCCGCCTCGGCTATAGAGTGACTTTAAAGCCAGCCTAGGCAACTTACTTTGAGACTTGGGCCATGTGTGATGGCACACACCTTTAATCCCAGCACTCAGGAGGCAGAGGCAGATGGATCTCTGTGAGTTCAAAATCAGCCTGGTCTAGACAGGGAATTCCAGGCCAGCCAGGGCTACATACTGAGACCCCCCTCCCCATCTCAAAAGGAAAGGAAAATCAAAGTGAAAAAGTAAAAGAGGGCTGGAATATAGCTCAGTGGTAGAGCTGTTGCCTAGTATGCAAAAGGCCCTGGGTTCAATCCCCAATACTGGAAGAAAGGAACAAAGGAAGGAAGGGGGAGGGG